ACCAGGGCAAATTGAATTAAGCAAACGGGCCAGCTGCCTCCCAGAAGAAATCGGTCATAATGTCACAGAATCTTCCGACGAATGAGGGAAATACTGCTTGAGAGGCTGTGGGTGTTGACGAGAGAGCCACTGCCTGCAAGACCTGGCCCTTCTGGAGTCCTCTTGTCATCAGTGTCCCCACCGAGAGACAGGCTCCCTGCAGCACCCCCTTCCCCGTGGGACCATGTTTTGTTTCCGTGTCTCGTCTCGGTGGGCCTGGAGGAGATGGAGGCAGCACTGTGGCAGAGCCAAGGTGCCAGGAGCTGGCGCCTGCCCGCATGGCTCAGCAGGCAAGGTCAATTCCAGCGGCTTTGTCTTTTCATGTTGAGCAGACAGGGCTAGAACTTCTCAGGGGGTAACAAAATCAGATCAGGCTTTTAAAGGATTCAGAGGTGCTGGGTCCGAGGAGACATTATTTAGCCCATTGTATTTTTGTGAATTAGAAAACACAAGTAATGATGAGCTGGGACTAAGCGCACCAAAAATATTCCTTATTTTAGAACTGCCATTCATGTAAAAGGTTGGTATGTGTTGGCTACAAGTGCTCTGAGCACCAAAACGTGTCATTTTCATCTCAGTCTTTGCTGAGTTTTGACAAGAGGGACTTGTCCCTCAAGAGGGGCCGCTGCTTCTCCTGCTCCAGGTAAGAACGTGCTCATGGCCCACGCGCACCAGGAGCCCAGGTCTTTCAACGGCTCCTTGAAGAACGTGGCCGTGGAGGAGCTGAGCAGGCAGGGCTGTGCCGTCACCGTGTCGGATTTGTACGCCGTGGACTCTGAGCCCAAGGCCACAAGGAGAGATGTCACTGGTGAGTCGTGGCACGATCGCTCTGCCGTTTGAACTTTCCTCTGTGTTTGTCAACTAAAAACATGTCTGGGAAGCTGATCGTTGCCGGCGATGTGCATGTCTCCGGTCAGAAGCGTGGACGGCGCGGTCTGTGCGGCCCAGGTGGCCGGTGCTGCCAGTGCCCTCGGCCTTCTGGAGACGCGCGCTGCAGGGGCACCCTTGAGGGGCACTCGAGGGCGCTCTCCGTGCCCTCCACGGGAGTGGGGCGTGCGTGCGGCCTCCTCTTCTGCTGTGGCACAGCACTCGCTGTGCGGCAATGTCGTCGCTCCGAGTCCGTGCTCAAGGGCGCGTTAGGCTGGCTCTGACCGGCGGCGGTGACAACCCCTACACCAGGGAACCTGGCCCCGGCGTTCCCGCCCAGGCATTGCCCCGGAAGCGGAAGTGCCAGTTGGTAGAGGGCCACGCGTTTCCTTTCTGGAGGCCCCAGGTGCCCCAAGCCTTGCCCGGTTCGCGTGGCGCCAGCGGCAGTGCACGTGCTGGCTGCACGGGGCCCCTGGTGCTGCCGGCGCAGTGACAGCCCTGGTGTGCCAGGAAGTCCCTCCCGGCACGGCCTCCGTGTCCCTCCGTCGGTTTGTGAGGTTCGGCGCCTTCACGTGTTCCGCGTGTGTTTGTCGCTGCTGACGGTTTCCTTCCCGTGACCTGTGCGTTCCTGCCTCCTGCGTGTTCTCTCAGTTCGTCGGTCTTGGACGTTTCGGTTTTTGGGGAGCGCCTGTGTATTAAATAATCAGCCTGTGGGGCGGGGTGGGGTGTGAGTGGCAGATACTTTTTACCCGATTCTGTTCTCCATTCGACGTTGCTTCTGCTGCTCTGTTCCGCACGGGATTCTGTCTGCTTTTACCGAGTTGCGTTTCCATCAGTCGGTCGCTCTATGGGGTCTGCGTCTTACTTCTGTCAACTCTTAAAAACAAAGTGTTGTCATTTCTTTGAGTATTTGACAGGTTCCACTCTTTAAATTTAAATATTTTAACTATTTTGCATTTATTTGGATGTATGTTATGAGATACGGGTCTCTTTTTTGGCCAAGTTGCTGCCCAGTTATCTTCTCGCCATTGTAGGTTTGCTCCACTGTTTGCCCCTGATTGAAACTGCCACTTTCCTTGTGACCTAAACTCCCATGTGTTTGATTCTGTTGTACTCTTTCTATTCCGCTTTGTGCCCGTCTACTTATGACACACAACACGGTACCATGTCGTTATGATTGTTTAGGGAAATAACATAATTTAATATCTCATAGAGATAGGTCACCTTCACTTCCTTTATTTTCCTCTGTTTTCTACTTCTTTATCTTTTCCGTAAAATCATCTGAATTGGCTTTGCACATTCAAAAAGAAATCCCATTAAACTTATAGATGAACTTAGGAAGAACTGGTCTTTTATAATACCGGTTCTTCCTGTGCACGGGAACGGTGTGACTTCCGTTTGTTCTAGTCTTCTACAACTCCCCACGTCTATGTAGGAGGCTCTTCACGCACATCTTCTGTAATTCTTATTCTGGGTGCTGTTTCTCTGTGTGGCGGGCATTATTCTCTGTGTGGGCCTGTATGTGTGTTTTTGTGGTGACTAATACTTTTCAGTGAATCCTCCGGGGCTTTCCAGATATGCAGTCAGATCATCTGCACGTAATGATCACTCACCGCCTCTTCTCCAGAACTTAAATGTCTCTGCTTTCCTCTTGGTTGTGATTGTGCTGACTATGTTTCCAGGTACAGTGTTCAGTACCGGTGGTGACAGCCAACATCCTTGTCTTTCTTCCCTTTTGCCAGATCAATCCACTATTTTCTCTTAATGAGCAGAAAAGTAGACACTAGAAAAATAGAGATCACTGGGATAAGGAGCCACTGGATTTTAAGTGAATGAAGTAACACGAGCTTACTGTAAAAAATATATATATATATATATATATATATTTATATATATATA